AAGAGTTCTCTTATAACCTTCCAGTGATTTGCTGAATAAGTTTTACGCAAGTCCTCCGCTACTGATTTTTCAAAATTCTCTTCGGCTTTATAACAGGTGTCTTCCCATTGTGCGAGATCCTTAGCTTCCAATCCTTCTATTGCACTTTCTTCATCATAACCAAGCCTCCGAAGATGAGATAGACGTAAGAAATGTTTTCGAGGTTCGGGAGATCCAAAATGTTCCACAAATTTTTTATTACAAAGTTTATCCCAATCTTCGATGCTCATATCCATATCTTTACCGGTATAGAGACTTCGCAAATAGAAACGTTTAAGTGCCATAGTATCTGGGATAGAGCGTTCTTGATCAAACTTAAGAATTTCGGCTTCTTCAGGGATGAGATTTCGGGAAGTTGCAACAGCACTAAAATCCGTTTCCTTGATAACTGATGCTTCAACCCTGACCTCATTGCGGACCCTTTTGCGATTCCCTATAACTTCTTGGCTCTCATCCATTTTTATAAGTTGAAGAGAAGCGCCCGTACTGGCTATAAGACTGCATGATATCTCAATGAAATTTCTTCCAGATAGACGTTTTCGATGTTCGACTTCAAGGAATGATGTTACAGCAGGAGATTGATCAAGTTTATATGAAACAATATTTTTATCCCATTCACGATGGCCCTTAATTGCTGTAGGTAGATCAGTAGGACGAGCACTTTCAAGTTCAGCACGAATATTTTCATGGCCTGGCGAACGAGAAAGTTCATTGGAAATGTTTTGATAATAGAGAGATAGTATACGCTTTTTACAATCACGAATTCGAAACATCATTTGGATAAAGGCTTCAACATTAACTGGAGTTGCAATATTTGTAATGCCTATAACCGCATCAAAGTGATCAGTCTTTTCAAAAGATATGCCTGCTTCCACTGTACTCGTATAAGCTACACAATCAAGTTCACCCCAAGCAGTATTAATATCTAAAAAGTCTTTTTTTCGTTGTTTTCCATCCATATCTCCATAATAGGCACGAGCTTTGAAAGATAATTTAGAAGCTTTTTCTATTAATGCTCGAGCCATATTAGAATTTGTTACAACAAATGCCACATGTTTGCCTTGTCTGAGAAATTCAAACCCAATTCGCATAGCTTCAGCCCCACTATTTGGGTCGTAAAGATACTCAACAGTCTTACCTATAAGAGGCTGAAATTTATTATCAATCACTCGGATATTTTCACCGCGATAAGCCTTGAGAAAGGCCAATGTTGATTCATTTGCAAATGCGTCCATTGCCAACACGTGTTGAGCGGATTTTAATACATCACGCATTGCATTTTCAGATTCGCGTGCTTTTACACCACTATTCATTTGGTGAAAAATTGCATTGATTTCATCCAAAACAGCTACAATTGGACGGGCTGAGAATTCGATACGAGAAAGGCTTTCAACTTGGACTATAATAACGTCCCATTTGTCTACAGATAAATTCCGTTCATCTTGATAATTACAGATTTTTAGCCCTGACAATTTAAGTTCATTAATTTTAACTTGTGATTCATTACTAAGAGTTTTTCGATAAGAGATCCAAATAATGGAAGGTAAATTTGCGCCACTTTTAGTCAATGAATCGATAATTATTCTTAGACCTTTTGTTTTTCCTGTCATCATAGGAGAGCGGATAAGAGTTGTACTAGATTTTTCGCTCAAGAAATCCGGATAAGCTTCTGGTGCATCTTCCATTTCCTTCACGTTGATAATTTCTCCGGCTAATTCGGGAAGTGGACGTGGATTTGATATAGCTTTGGCAATTCTTTCATTTAATCCCAATTTAGGTTTCACTATTGATTTAACTTTGTCTGATACCTTATTAAAGCTTAATCCCTTATGATCTGGCTTATATTGTTTTTGCCGATAGCACTTGAGTATAAAATAGCCATTTTTTCGAATAAATCCGTAGAGTTGGTCTTTTTCATGTTTAACTTCACATATAGGACACTCTTTAGAGGCAAAGCCTCCTGCTCCACAGACGGATTGTGCTTGAAAGTTGATGAATCCCTTCTCGATTCTTCCAATCTGAAGCCACCCATATATTGCAATAACTAAATTAGCTCCTTTAACCAAAGCATCATCGTCATCAATAGGTTTAAATTCCTCTTCTGTTGGCTTTTCTTCTGAAAAGGTTCGTGGAAGGATTTCAGAATAATTCTCTTTAGGCTGAACCAGATAATCCTCTAGCTTTTGAAATCCATTTTTTATGGAAGAGATAGCAGGTCTTTTTATGCGTCCCTCTTTTGCTGATCCAAGGAGTCGAAGATTGAAATGTGTTTTGGGAAGGCCAATATCAATAAATTTCGAATAAGGTTCCCCAACTAATTCCATAACTTTTTCTGTGAAACCCTTAAGTTCTCTATAATCCACAAATTGGGTCTGAGGATAAATAATATGCCAACTGCATTTCTCAGCATTTGATGAACTAGCTAAGGCAAAAGAATTTAAGAAAGGCATACAATCGGGAATAAGGCTTAATGCATCTGCACAAGTGACTAAAATTCGAGATAACAAATCTTCGCGGGTAATTTTTTCACCATCTAAAGAAGGAAGTTGAGGATTATTAGAGTCAGGCTTTTGTCTTGCATCAATGTCAATTATCAAGCGAAGGGGCCTGTTGCCATCAATACATTCATGAGTATTAGATATTCCATAAACTTTTGTAGGATGATCGATCACCATATAACCTTTTCCTGCTATCCGAATTATATATTGAGTATGAATCTCTTCAGGTCGATATGCATCTAAAAGCGCAGTATCATTTTTATCAGTATGACCATTAGAGGCAAGCCAGTATTTATAAAATGTATGTTCTGTATGGCCAGGTTTATAATCAAGATCCGTTAAACCCATAAAAAGCCTTTTTGCATCATTATATTCGGCTGTCTTTTGATTTAAGCACTGTTGTTGTAATGATTCACGAAGGCGTTTTTTTGCTTCACTAGACAAACTCATGTATTGATTTGTATATATGCGTGTTGTTTGATCTGACAAAAAGTATATGTAGTATTATTTTGAAACTATATTATCGATAGATAAATCTTTAAAATAAAATTAATTATTCCAAAAATTTGATTGAAGTTTATTATATATACTTATGATGAAATTATACAATTGCTCACAAATTTGTAAAACTGGAGAAATCTGTGGTCGAAATAGTAAATCAGAAAAATGTTATATCCATTGTAAATCTCCAGTATATATTCCTTGTAGAGATTGTGGTGAGCTAAATAGGTCTAAATATAATGCATGCGATAAACATGTAGGCAAATATAAAAGTAGAGAGAATTACAACAGAAAAAAGCAGGATGAATTGTGTATACAAATTGCTATGATTGAGAATCATATACCCGACTTACCCGATTCTAGACATGAACTATAATCATGCGCTTGGCATATATTAATTATTTTTTCCAAGACCTCTTTATAAAGCTATGGATTTCAAGACTTTATATGTAGAGTCGTCAGAACCAAGCCATAAAATGACATAAATTTTATGTACTTTCGTTATGTGGCATTTTGCGTAATTATCAAAAAACATCGTCCAAATACTTTTTGGAGGGCAGTGTATATTGATATAAAAAAAATAGATTTTCCATAAAATGGGTTTTGTGCACAGTCACAACGTTTTTCTATTCTAAATTCAATTGAAATAGCAAGTCTCACAATATAAAAAAGATTGATGATCAATTTTGTCACAAGTGATAAAACGAATGTCCACTATGCTGATTAATTATATCCAGACATTAAAAACAATGGTACCATTATTTGTATTTTTACTAAAAATATAAATATCTAAGCAAAGTTTTTCCTAACTCTTTCGAATATATTAAAATTATTGATTATAATGCTAAGATTGCCTTTTTGAGTTCATTGTACTGACATTCTTCAGCAAGTTTTAAAATATTATCCCAGGGTTCATTTGAAATTTTGGAAGCCCAAAAAGTTTTGATATCAATTAGATTATAAAGATTAACTGTATCATGTTTTGTTTTGTTCATCAATAAATAAATATTATGAATTAAAATGTGTAAGTCATCTTGTGGACGAAATTCTACAAGAGTATCCCATCTTTCCAAAATATATTGTGACTATACATGAAGTCGAAATTAAAACCCCAAAGTCGAAATGTTTTGACTTGAGGCAACTACATAGTAAAAATCAGTTTCAACCTTATTTTGACCCTATTTCAACCAGATCTGCAAATGGTCAAAATAGTTTCGACTTCATGTATAATTGTGACATATATAGAGGATGGGAACCTTTATAAATAGCAGGTTGAT